GACAAGAAGCACCTGGCAAAGTTCGGGCTGGACCTGATCGAGGGCACGGTGCGGGACAACGTGGATGCGGGCGTGCTGGAGCCGGCGCTCAGCAAGCTCAAGATCATCCAGGTGTGTGTGTGTAGTTGGGTGGGCAGGAGGGAAGCGGGGGGCGGTGGTGAATCCTCCCTGCCCCCAGTGGCACCCCTCATGCTCCTCTTGTTTCTCATACGCCTCCCCCATGAACCTCCATCACCATCTTCCCCCACCCGTCTCCTTCCCAGTTTGCCACGGAGGCTGCCATCACCATCCTGCGCATCGACGACCTCATCCGGCTCGCGCCAGAACCCGAGGAGGGCGAGGAGTAGTTTAGTGTGATCATGCCAGCCCTGCTGCAGTGTGACTGGGGATCCTGAAAGAATGGAATCCCAGACCCAGAAGGGAGTTTATGGAGCTTGGGAAAGAAGCACATGCGGCACTGTTGCCTGTTCTCAGGGCAATGTCCTCGCCGGGCAACACAAGGAATGCAGCTGCCTGCTGCGGAGGCTGCTGCAGTCAAGTTTCCCTCCCTGTCCAAAGCCTCTGACTGGACTTGCTGGTATTACAACGGCAGGCAGGCAGGCAGGGAAAAGGAAAGGGGCTGTGTACACGCCTGCGGGCAACCTGGGTCGCAACCTTCCCACAGCAATCATTCTCACAATGTCCATCGTCAACCGCGTCCAGGCACCAGCGACCCTCTCGCTGGCAGCTTGGCCCCGGGACCACTCCTCCACCGCCTCTTCCCCCAAACAGGACTCCCCCCTCCAAGCATGTCACATGCCCGTCTCGGGCCCTGGGCCGCTCTGCCGGCCCGCCTGGGCCGCCCGGCGCGCGGCCTGGTGCGACCGCATCTCCAGCTCGTAGTTGCGGCGCTCGATCTGCACCGCCTCACTGGGCTGCACCACGCGGTCGATCAGCCCGTACTCGATGGCGGCCTCGGGCGTGAAGTAGCGGTTGCGCCCGATGTCCTTGCGCACCGTGGCGGCGTCCTTGCCCGTGGCCGCGGTCATGAAGTCCACAAACACCTGGGTGTTGGCCTCCAGCTCGTTGGCTCGGATCATGACGGTGCTGGTGCTGCCAAACGCGCGGTTCAGGCGGGGGGGGCAGGTCATGATGCGCGCGTGGGGCAGCGCGTAGCGGCACCCCTTCTTCCCGGACGCCAGCAGCATGGCGGCGTTGCCGCAGGCCTGGCCGATCACCAGAGTGTAGATGTCGGGGCGGATGTAGGCCATGGTGTCCAGGATGGCGGTGGCCTCCGTCTCAAAGCCCACGCTCTCCCCAGCAGCAGTCTGGGAGCCTGATGATAGTTGGTTGTAGGAAGGGGGGAAAAGGAGGGGTGTGTGCTTGTACATAAACGTAGCATTACCGCTGAACAGGGCACGAGAGCCCCTTGACGGCAAGGTGTGGGAGTGGGCTGTGCTACACTGTTCTAGTAACAGAAGTCAACTCTGGTGCGCATGGTAGGGGTCCACGATTCGGTACAAGTGGGTCACTGCGACCTGGGCACCCCCCTGCACAGCGCCAGTTCAACGTCTCCCTCACAGCACAAACACAAACACACACACACACACACACACCTGTGGAGTTGATGTAAACATACACCGGCTTGTCCTGAGACGAGTAGTTCAGCCACAAGAGCTCTGAGATGACGAGCTCTGTCACGGCAGGCACCAGCTGCAGGGATGAGGGTGGAAGGTGTGTCAGCTTGGGGAAAGGGGTTTGAGAGGTGGATGTCTAACAGGCTTGGAACACAGCACGAGGCAGCGCATCGACCATTCCCTCACAGAGACAGCAGGGCGCCATTCATCTGAATCACCAGCAGCACTGACAACAGCACCGATATCACCAACCCACCGGCATGCCAATGTAGCAAATGCGCCCATCCAGGAGGAGGGACGGCAAATCCGGAGGCGCCCGGCCTGGGGCTCTGGTGTCCCGCGCCATCCGTGTCGCCTGGCGACTGGTCTCACTCACATGGTCGCCAACGTAGAACGCCTTGGCCGTCAGGGTATCCTGGATGATTAAAAGACCTTTGGGTTGAAGGAGGGACCAATGGCAGCTGCATCACCATGCTGTTCCTGCCACGGCAGGTCCTTTGCTAAAATGATGGGGCAGCGACGGTGCAGGCTGGTCTGGTGACGGGTTGACCACAAAGTTTCATACAGCAGCTAGTCCCACTCACAGGATCGATGGAGGTGCCGATCTCCGGCTGCTGTGTGAGTCCCAGCACCCTCATCTGGGAGGTGGTGAGGCCAAACTCCGGGCAGAAGGAGGGGACCACCGGCTCGTTCGTCGGCTCGTAGGTGGGGTGGAAGCCGATGCCCATGCTTGCCACTGTAGTGGTGCTCCTACAGCCCCTCTGGCTCCGCGTGACCTTGTTCACCACAGGGCGGAAGGGAGCGCACCGGTGTGCATGGTCAGGGACCGCTCGGCAGGGCACACCAGCCCCGCGCACGGTCTCCAAGTACATGTTTGGCGGGTTGGGAGGTATAATCAAGCCGAAGAGGTGGTTCAATGTCGCCGAGGTGGTGGTTGATGTGTTCCGATCCGAGGGTCCCACATGGGTGGTACCCGGCCAGGAAAGCGCGCGCGCCCCCGGGGCCCCTTCAAAACGCAGGAACTCCCCCCACATTTCATTGCCACGATCATTGCCACGCCCACATGTTGTAGATCAAGGTCATTGATCAAAATCTAGGAGCATCCCTTGAGACAAGGCCAGCCTGCAGGAGGTCTGTGGCAACAATACCTTGGTAGCTGTGTCACAGTGTGCAAACAGTGTAGTCGCCTTCCACTCAATATCGGGGCTTTTACCGCGTTCGAAAGCTACAATGAGTACTGCAGATGCATGTGCTCCTAGCGGCAGCAGCCTCATGCAGGTGCGAGTGGGCTCTGTTGCTCGGATCAGCATCACGACGCAGGAATGAGCAGGGTGATCGACTAACCGCATGATAAGCTCGTTTCAATCAATGTTCCAGGAGATGTTCAGCAGCACATTACAGCCATCAACCACATCTGGGTCCCTATTTGAGAGTATGTGGGATGTGGTCAAAGGTGCAGGGCCCTTGCAGAGGTATAATTGATATGGAAATGGTGCAGCCGCCAGACCAAGCCCAACTCCCTCCTCAGAGATACTACAGCACCGTGGCAAAGACATCATCAAGAAGGGGTTTGCGCGACGCAAACGCTTCTTGGTAGCCTTTTGCATGAAACTGCAGGCACTCTCTGGGGGCAAGCTGGTGAGTACGCACTTGTGGGCACAGTTTGTCGAGCAAAAGGAGGTGGAGGCCTGAGTGTTTGCCTGATGTTACCTGCCCGGCCTCACCACCAGCCTCTCTGCCCTGTTGACCCCTGTGGCCGCCAGGGTACCCTGTCCAATCTGGACAGTGCCCAACCGACGATGCACATCGACCTCCCTCAAGGCGCCCTGCAACTGACAGGTGCAGACCGTGATCTGCAGCCATCTCGGCATCGCAACAGCACCTCCTTCATGGTTCCTCTGAGGATCCTCAGTCACCGTGCCCCGAAACACCTCCATGCAGGCACGCTGACCTTTCCCCAAACCAAGTATGCGGTTCTGAGGCTCGGTGCGAAGGATGTATTATGTGAAGACCTCTTCGACTCCTTGGTGCGGGGAAGGGAGGCAAGATTGGAACCCTGAAGCAGCTTGATTTCAATGCAGAGCTTGTGCAGCTGACAGGGTAAGACACTTGCCCAACTCTGACTGCACCACAGCATTCCACGCCCTCCTCCTGCCACACAGATAGTGTTCGACCAGTACACATGGCTGTCAGGCGAGGGGGAGGGGGTTGTGCCGGCGCACCTGCCAGCCCAACCCATGGAAGCTACAATGCAGCGCGATGAGGGAGGCGCAGCCTCTCCCAACACTCCCAAGCGATCATCCGGTGAGAAGAGGGGCTGCTGACTGATGCCTTGAGCGTCGCAAAGTGCCTCTGACGGAGGGCTGGGAGACGGCTTGACTGCCGTTTGTTGGCCGAGTCTGCAAATGAGACCTGCATATTCTTCTTCGCACCTGCAGGGCCCCCTGTATCCGATGCTGGCACAGCAATGAATAGCCAGGTGGTTTCCCAGGAGACACCGCCCAGCTCTCAACGGCGATCGGGCAGGCTGCAGACTGCCAAACGACAGCGTATTGTCACAGGTATTGGGTGCGTAATGCATGCTCCTTTGCAGGGAGGGATACCATTAGAAGAGCATTATGTGCCGTGTTCATTTTGCAGAGATGCCATTCTCAGCACAGAGTGAGCCATTACACCATCCACGCCTCAGACTGGGACACAAGCTCTGAAGACTCAAGCTCACCATCAGATGGTTCTGCACCAGAGTCTTCTTACTCGGAGTAATTGTTCCGAAAGAGGAAGAACACGTACACTGGACTATGAGCGCCGGTCTACATTCCTGCAATCATCTCCTGGATTGGACCTCGCGCTCAAGCTGACGATGTGAACAGAGCATTGCAACGATGAGTGTGAATGACTTGTCAACGGTGAACAGATCTGTACTGCCATCTCCATCAGTCTCGGGCCGATTCGCCGCACACCCCAGCATGCAGGTTCGGGGACAGAGTCATGGTGTTGATATCCTTGCATGGGGCATCATGGAATATAAACCATACATTCATTCAAGTTATATCATTCCTATCAGCTCCCAGAATGCCGACGGCGCATTGCACCCGCTGAGCTCCGATACCGCCCCGAGCACCCATGAAGCTGTGTGTGGAGTGCCGCACCCAGCGGGCGGCCATGCGCCGCCCAAAGACGTCGGAAGAGCTGTGCAAGGAATGCTTTTACACCGCGATTGAGACGGAGGTCCACGAGACCATCATGGCCACGAACCTGTTTCGGCGCGGGGAGAGGGTGGCAATCGGCGCCAGTGGGGGCAAGGATTCCACGGTGCTGGCTCACATCCTCACCACCCTGAACAGGAGATACGAGTAAGAGGTCACTATAGTGGGCTCAGAAGCGGCTGAGGCGCATGTCTTTGCATGGAAGTCCCCGAACTTAGCCTTCCAACAGCGCTGTGGGCTCCATCGTCTCCCACTCTCCCTCCTGCTGCACAGCTATGGTCTGGACCTCTTCCTGCTGTCCATTGACGAGGGAATCAAGGGGTACCGGGACGACTCTCTTGAGACGGTGAAGCGCAACGAACAGCAGTACCAGGTGGGAGGGCCGCACAGTGAGTTTCATGGCACCATGTTGGTAGTCCTTGCATCGCCACTTGGAACTGATTATGCGAGTAGCCATTGTTGAAGGCTCTCGACATTCATCTTGGCAAGCCCCATACTGATAAACACCACCCCTCGACACCCGCTCCGCACCATTCAGATCCCGCTGACCATTTGCTCCTACAAGGACCTGTATGGCTGGACTATGGATGAGATTGTGGCCCAGATCGGCACGAAGAACAACTGCACCTTCTGCGGGGTGTTCCGGCGACAGGTGCGACAGCTCCTCCGCGCTCGAGGCAACAGTGGACTGCCATTTGTTGCTGGCATGTCTGGGTGGGTTTGTAGTTTAGGTTTTAGCACACGCAGTGCAGGTCCGCAGGCACCCACCTTCCCACACTACTTTTACCCAGGCACTGGACCGAGGCGCCGCCATGATGAAGGCTGACAAGATCGCTACCGGGCACAATGCCGACGATATTGCGGAGACTGTGCTGCTCAACTTCCTGCGTGCTGACCTGGCAAGGTGGGCCCGGGACTGAGCTGTTATATTATGTTGTCAAGCATGCACCCTGTGGCATGCATAGCATCCTAGGCTCGTTGGGTCCTCACCCTCCACCTAGATCATCAAGAAGCTCAGAGATGCGTGCGAGTGCTCAAGCCCTACCCCAACGCCTCTTGGGCTGCCAGGCTTCGGCGCTGTCCCAGCATCATCACAGGCGCGGATTCGACCCTCCCCCGGGTAAAGCCTTTCAAGTATGTGTACGAGAAGGAGATCGTGATGTATGCCTACTTCAAGAAGCTGGACTACTTTAGCACAGGTGGGGAGCTGCGGTTGTTTTCTATGTGGAGCGCTGTCCTTTGAGACCTTGCTTTGCCGTGCATGACTTTGTGAAGCCATGCATGCAGAGCCACTCCTCTGCGCCACATTCCGCTGTGCAGAGTGCATCTACTCCCCCTTTGCTGCTCGGGGATTGGCTCGGGAGTTTATCAAGGACCTAGAGGTAGACAGGGGTCTCTATGTGGGGTCCCTTGCAATCTCTGTCGATAGCACAATAAGACATCTACTTCACACTGTTTCGTCAGTGGACCCAGGTTATGCAATACCCTTAGCATCACTCTAGGCTGCTGCAACTTTAATTTAATGATAGTCTGTACCCGACCCCAACCTGTCCAGGCAGCTCGGCCTCGTGCCATAGTGGATCTGATCTCTGCTGCTGAGGACTTTCGGATAGAGAGCGAAGCGATGCAGCCAAAGAGCCAGCCAGGGAGCTGCACTCGCTGTGGGTACATGTCGAGCCAGGTAAGAATCAGTCCAACCCCAACCTGGGACTGATGTTAAACACACAAGCTGTGATCTTACAAAGCCTTTTCCTGGGAGTATGTGTATGGGCTCTTGACAACAATCTGTCTTTCCCACACAATCCACAGGCAGTGTGCAAGGCCTGCCTGCTGCTGGAAGGCCTGAACAGAGGCCTCCCCCGTATGGGGGTTGGACGAACAAAGCGGAACGGAGGGGATGATGAGTCGTGCTAGTACCGGCGCGTATGCTTCGCACGAGCCGAAAATATGCCGCTACCAGGCTTGCGCCGGTTGCACAGCTGCTTCCCGCAAGCGGGATCTGACTGGCGCAGTTGGTTGCCTCTAATGGCGAACCAGAGGGGGTGGGAGGGCGGGAGAAGACTAAGCAGGGGGGCC